CCACACATCTTAAAGTTGCCAACTTTGAAGAACACTAGTCTCAAGTCTCAGTAGTGGCATTTTCAGATGGCATTTTCAAAATCTGCTTGCTTTATGCCCTGCGTAGAAGCAGGATCTTTAACCATTCGCAGTTGTTTAATCCTGATATCACACAAGTGATTCTGTGCTATAGAAGCAGAGCATAGGAGTCGAAACCACATGCTATCAGAGAATGTGGCTTCAAACCAGATAAAAGACCAAGCAAGCTCTAACCCAGTTTGGAGAGAGGAAACACTTATATAACCTGAGATTGAAAAGTGCCTCCCTTCTTAATGAGCATCTATCGGCGGACTATGCCTGGATAAAATGAAATCTAACTGTGAAGCTTAGAGTCGTACTATCAGTTATCTCATCTTCAGTTGTTAGTCATTTCTAGCTGTGTTCAGATGTATAGTTGCTCTAAGTCCCACTAGAGAGCAAGGCCTATACCTCTCCTGTACTTCTGGGTCTGAAGGCCTAGCTGGTAGGATACCTAATTCCCCTGCCAATAGAAGAGAATATATGTAGCTGCGGGTTGAACTGTGGGGTCCTTGGGATTCCAACAACAACCAACAGACAACCAAGCTCAGGGAATCCCAAGGTCTCCATAATTCCTCCACCCCAGAAAACAAGTCAGGGGAGGGCTGTGAAACTCTCTCACATAGCTTTCCAGTGCAATAGCTTGCCTGCATGGAAATGCTGAGCAAAATTTTTTTGTTTGAATAATGTGTGTGGAAGTCCCTGTCCCTCATGGTATGAACATTTCCAAATGTAAGGAGTGCGCAGGTTTTAAAAGCTGACTTGGCCTTTGTGTGAGATGTGAGGGACCATGCTCCAAAAGGTACTAAGTGGGTCAGGACAAAAACTGAATTTGATTTGATTTGTTTTACTTTTGAATTAACTTAAAATTAAATTTCATACAATTATCCTTCCATTGCGTTTAATCATTTTCTCCTTCAGTTATACTAAAGTTGATAATATGGGAGCAATGTTGCAGGTCCCTTGTGAAGGCTCTTTGGGGCTTTTTGCAGCCTTCAGACATTAAGTTCGGCTCCTCTGCTCTAATGCAGGGGATGGGGATCGAAATCTTTCCGACAGCGCTAACAGTCTCCTCCGTTTGCCTCCTCTGTGTTGCCGTTCTGCTCAGGAGAGTCTGAACTTCTGGCGCTCTCCGCCAAAGGCCGTCTCATGACGTGTGGCTTGTGCAGCCCAGACGACACACAGCCAGTCAAGATGAACACTGACAAAGCTGGGCAGAGGATCAAAGAGCTGCTGTCTGGGATAGGCCATGTCTCTGAAAGGTAAGAGTTGACCTTTCTAGGACTAGCATCCTTGCGTGTACAAATTTGGCACTTTCACCTGTGTGCCTTGGGAAGCTCCCCTTTGCTCATGCTGCCTGGATTGTCCTGCCTGAACAACTGATGTGGGAAAGCAGCTTTTGAAGTCTGGCAGCAGGATTTGATGTTACACCCTGCACGCCGTTAACTCAGATATTCTGGCAATTACAAGGAAGCCTGTGTGTGAAGGGGGGGTTGTTAGTTTTTAACTCATACACATTAAGAATTAACTGGGATTTGCTCTTGTAATTGCCTCTTGAGGAAATAACTGAATTTACGTGAAAGGAGGGATACTGTATGTAAAATCACCCCCACCCCACACAGGAAAGGAGTCAGAAAAATATTATACAGGCATTTCTCGTTATTGCGGTAGTTATGTTCTGTGAAAATGGCACAAATACCGAATTAGTGAATGCTGAAACTTCAGCTGGGAATATGCGCGTTGGGGGATTCCAATGTTTTGCTTCTCTGCATGTCTGCGAATAAGTGCAACAGCGCCATGAGTACTGATTTTGGAGTGACAAAAACATTTTTGTGAATAAATGAATTCACAAATATTGAACTGCGAATAATGAGGATTGCTTATAATCACATGTGAAAAATCCTGTACAATGCCCACATTCCCCATCTATCAACTTAGAGTTGTCCATTCCAGCTAAAATTCCTGGAGATTCCTGATCTCACCCCAATAAACATCTCATGTGACACATTTGTTTATGGGTATGTATACCTGCCAGAAGACACACTCCCCAAAAGGGGCAGGACAAGAACAAAAAAACAAAACAAAACAAAACAAAAAGAGTGTTAATTGAATTAATAAATAGTGATTAAAACTAAATGAGAGTCAGTTTGGTGTAGTAGTCAAGGCGCCAGGCTAGAAACTGGGAGACTGAGAGTTCTAGTCCCACCTAGGCCTGAAGCCAGCTGGGTGACCTTGGGCCAGTCACTCTCTCTCAGCCCTAGGAAGGAGGCAAGG